CTCTTTCAGCCTAACCTACTTCACAGGGATGTTGTGAAGATAAAATGGAGGTGAGGAGGAGAAGGATGTAAGCTTCTTTGGGATCTTCACTGGGGAAAAAGTTGGGGTGTAAATGAAATGATTGATTGATTGATTGACTGATTGATGGGGGGGGAAGTAGACGCAATCCAAATTTCTGTCTTTTCCCCTGTACATATGCTCAGGGAGGGTTGAACCCTCTCTTTGTGTTCTTTAACCCTTTCTTTCCACATCCTTGCCATGATTTAAATCACCCCTCTGTGTAGTTGTTAAGTGTGCCGACTCTAATCTGGGAGAACCGGGTTTGATTCCCCAGTCCTCCACTTGCACCTGCTGATGTGACCTTGGGTCAGTCACAAGCTCTGGCACAGCTGTCCTTGAAAAAGAGCAGTTTGTGTCAGAGTCGGGAGCTCACTCCGTCATGCGGCAACCCGGGTCTTGAACTGCTGAACTACCGACCTTCCACAGCCTGCAGTTCAGCGTCTTAACCACTTGAGCCACCGCAGCTCCTCCACATCCTTGCCATGATTCAAATCACCCATCTGAAGCTGCAGTGAGCTCCACAGGAGGGAAAAGGGCAGGCGTGGCAATCCTGCTGGCCGTTTTCCTCTCACAGACCTACTTACATGGGGGGAGTATTTAAACCAACGCATGGGAGGAAAGGGTAAAACTCTCTCCCCCTCCCCCACCAGATGCTTGTCTCTGATCTTCAAGGCAGCCAAACCGATCTGCTGATTCACTTTGATGGGGAGAGAGCAAAAAATTGCATTGTTGGGTGTAGGTTGGCCCCAACAGCCTTTCTCGTGTGATACCACTTGTTGTTTTAGAGTTACCGACTTCAGAATGGGAAATTCCAGGGGATTTGGGGCTGGACCCTAGAGAGGGCGGGGTTTGGGGAGGGGAGGAGCCTCAGCAGGGTGCAATGCCACAGAGTCCACCCTCCAAAGCAGCCATTTTTCTCCAGGAGAACTCGGTCTCCATAGTCTGGAGACAGCTGTCATTCCAGGAGGCCTTCAGACCCCAGTTGGAAGTTGGCAACCCCAGGTTGTTTACTGGAAGTCTGTATTTTATTTTATCTTCCAGCTTGATCTGTGATTTTGGCTTTTTTCTTTCTCAGCCGCCGTATTTTAGATGACGTTTTAGATTTGCCTCAAGTCATACTGCAGGTTTATCTGGTGGAAATAGTGGGATAGGAAGGTTTTCAGTCCTTTAAGAAGAAATGTTGGGTGTGCAGTTCTTCCTCTCATCCGCTGGGCTTATCACTAACACACATGCTTTGTGGGAATGACACCCTTAATGCTGTGATTCTCAAATCAGCATTCCATGAGATTTATTCCATTAGATGCAAGCCGGCACTCTGTACCCACTCGTCTGCTTTGACCAGTTCTGAAAGCTCAGGCAGTTGACGCTGGGGAAGACCTGCATGTGCCTGAAGCCTCAGAGAGCGGCTGCCTGTCAAAGTATCCTTAGCCCACGGGGGGGGGGAGGTCCAGCCGCGTGTGAGAACGCCCCCTCCCCACCATCAGCAAACAGACTGCCGATCTGCGCCCTGTTTTGCAGTGGACTGACCGGCTTCTCCGTGGGCTTCTCCGCCCTGCCACGGGAGAGGCTGGCTCGCATGAGGCTCCCTCCCAAATGGCATGAAAGATTTGCTTTTGGCTGGGATCCCCCAACAGCCTCTTACTGCCTCCTGGAAGCTGCTCCAGAATAATGTCTGATAAAAGTGTCCTCAGATGACCATGTGGCAGCCTTGCACACCTCCAGGAGAGGCACACCTCTTCGAGAAGCAGCCAACGCTGCATGAGCTCTTGTGCCATGTGCACTTATGTGCAGTGGACAAGTTATACCTGCCTGTCTGTAGACAGTTTTAATGGCAGAAACAATCTATTTAATTGGTTTTAAATTGTATTTTTTTGTAATTTTATTGAGCGTATTTTATGTTGGTTTTAAAATTGTAAGCCGCCCTGAGCCACTTCGGCGGGAGGGCGGGGTAGAAATCTAATAACTAACTAACTAAATAAATAAATAAAGTAGACTGGGGTGGGGAGCCCCGTCGAACACAACACACTGCTCCTTTGCCAACATTGGGGTAATGATCTCAACATGAACAGAGACCTAAAGATGGACTGGGATTCCCTAACGGATCCCAGAAGCGTCATTGTTTCCCCTTTATGGACCCCTGAGAAATTAGGCAAAATGGAAGGTATGATGTTCGGAAGCAGTCTTAATCAGGCTACCCCTACACCTGCATCCAGGGCGCCAGGCCGGGGAAGAGGGAGCGTCTCTAGAACATCCTTACATGAAGATAGTTTCAGAGGGTAGCTGCATTGGTCTACAGTAGAAGAACTGGAGTCCAGTAGCACCTTGGAGAGGGGCTGCTTTGGCTCAGAGGTTAAGACGCTTAGCTGCAGACTGGAAGGTCAGTAGTTCGGCAGTTCGAGACCCGAGTGCCGCGTGACGGAGTGAGCTCCCGTCTCTGGCCCCAACTCCTGCCAACCTAGCAGTACGAAAGCAAGAAATTGCAAGTAGATAAATAGGTACCACTTTGGTGGGAAGGTAGCAGCATTCCGTGCACCTCAGCATTTAGTCATGCCAGCCACATGACCATGGAAATGTCTTCAGACAGCGCTGGCTCTTCAGCTTTGAAATGGAGATGAGCACCGCCCCCTAGAGTCGTATTTGACTGGCTTTCGAGCAAGGGAAACCTTTACCTTTACTAGCACCTTGGAGAGCAACAAGATTTTTAGGGTATGAGTTTTCGAGAGTCAAATCATCAGATACGAATAGGAATGGAGGCAAGGACGCGGGGATCTCTGTTGCTACTTGTACCTAGTGAAGGGAGCTTTGACTCGCGAAAACTCGTACCCTGAAAATTCGGTTGGTCTCCAAGGTGCTACTCGACTTGAACTGAGCTGCAGAACATTCGTAGCTATCCTTATGAACTTTGATGCAAAATGTGCACCCGTTTTTTGTTTTTTTTAAATATCCATGCTCTGGGTATAGAAAGTTTATTTGTTCATTTTTATTCCAAGTACCAATCCAAAATTATGGATTTGGTGAGGCCTGGAATAGATGCAGGGACTCCCTTGCCTGTCAGGTGGCCCCCTTATGGAGCAGATAGTAAGGGCTGTTGGCCACCAGAAGAGGGGAGGGAGAAGCCAGAGTTAAATCTGCCTTCATCACTCCTGAGGGTCAGCTAAAGGTTACTGGGTGGCATGTTGGGTTGAGAAACACAGGTGCACTGTTTCTGGCGTTGGCAAATGACTTATTTATTTTATTGATTTATTATCAAATTTATACCCCGCCCTCCCCGCAAAGCAGGTTCAGGGCGGCTTGTGGAGCGGCAGGTCAGAATTTGCAGTGGCTTCCATGGATTACATCAGGGCTTTTTGCAGGGACCGTTGACTAGGGTCTCTGCTACACCTGGGGTATCAGTGGAAGATAGCATAAGGATGCCTATAAATATTTTCTTTTGAATAAATCTTTTGTGACTTTGGAGGAAGAAATTGACTACTGATGCAGTTGGTAGTATTTACGAATGTGGATGCAAATGGTCAGTCGAACAGCAATAGAAACATCACTTAAGACGGGGGTCTCTCAGTGATGGCCCAGCCTGGACCAAAGCTGATCTTTGACTTTGCTGTGGGCAGCTGGGAGCTCTCAGTCGGGGCTGGCTCCAAGCAGGAAGGAGGCAGGTGATGGGTCCGAACTGGCGGTAACTGACCAGGAAGAACTGAGCTGCAGAACATTCGTAGCTATTCTTCTGAACTTAGATGCAAAATGTGCACCCGTTTTAATTTTTTAAAAATATCCGTGCTCTGGGTATAGAAAGTTTATGTGTTCATTTTTATTCCAAGTACCAATCCAAAATTATGGATTTGGTGAGGCCTGGAATAGATGCAGGGACTCCCTTGCCTGTCAGGTGGCCCCCTTATGGAGCAGATAGTAAGGGCTGTTGGCCACCAGAAGAGGGGAGGGAGAAGCCAGAGTTAAATCTGCCTTCATCACTCCTGAGGGTCAGCTAAAGGTTACTGGGTGGCATGTTGGGTTGAGAAACACAGGTGCACTGTTTCTGGCGCTGGCAAATGACTTACTTATTATCAAATTTATACCCCGCCCTCCCCGCAAAGCAGGTTCAGGGCGGCTTGTGGAGCGGCAGGTCAGAATTTGCAGTGGCTTCCATGGATCACATCAGGGCTTTTTGCAGGGACCATTGACTAGGGTCTCTGCTACAGCTGGGGTATCAGTGGAAGATAGCATAAGGATGCCTATAAATATTTTCTTTTGAATAAATCTTTTGTGACTTTGGAGGAAGAAATTGACTACTGATGCAGTTGGTAGTATTTACGAATGTGGATGCAAATGGTCAGTCGAACAGCAATAGAAACATCACTTAAGACGGGGGTCTCTCAGTGATGGCCCAGCCTGGACCAAAGCTGATCTTTGACTTTGCTGTGGGCAGCTGGGAGCTCTCAGTCGGGGCTGGCTCCAAGCAGGAAGGAGGCAGGTGATGGGTCCGAACTGGCGGTAACTGACCAGGAGAGAGATCTTGAAGTCATGGTAGATAACTCACTGAAAATGTTGACTCAGGCCCCGGTCACATGAGAGGTTTTGGGCCGGGAGAGGGACGGATCGGGGGCGCAGCAAACGGGCGTGATCCCACAGCAACATCTGAGAAGCGTGGTGCGCCCGTTCCCGATCCGGCCCTTCCACCCAAAACCCCGCACCAAAAATAAACCACCTACCTAGGTGGTTCTTCGGGAAAGGGCGCATCAAGGCCGGCCGTGGGATCGCCGGCGCGTCCTTCCGCCGGCTCATCCCCGGCTCCTGGCAGAACTGCGCATGCTCAGACATGCGCAGTTCGGCAGCCTCCCCCTCCCGACTGTCGCTTCCTCCCCGGCATCTGATCATGCCGGGGAGCAACAGCGCAGT